AGTCCAATCAAAAAGTTAAAGTGCACAAACCCAAAATTAATAAAAATAATATAATTAATAATAAATAATAAACTATAGTTGCGAATGGAACGAAGAATTCGAGATACTGAAAAATTGTAATAAATTAGAAATTCTTCGTATCTGGTATTTTGACTATCAGGAACTGTTGAAAATATCAAATAATAAAATCAGCACTTTAGAGATAATTAATGGCTCCATTAATGCATCGGCTATAACACAAATTTTAGAAAATTCCGGCACAGTACTACAACGACTAAAACTTATATCACTCGATTATGAGATTTGGGACGAATCTTTATTACTAGAAACATTAAAATCCTACTGCCCAAACATTACGTATCTCAATATTTCATGTATTGAGTTTTCCACACAGCTTTTAGAGCTTATTGGTAATTTACAGAAACTTCAGTTTCTCGCATTATGGTGCACTCCTTTCATACCAGAAGAAGAACTAAAAATACGAGTTATGCAGTTTGCAGAAATATTACCGTTAACATTACAATATCTTGAATTAAGAGATACTTGGCTGACATCATATATTTATATTTTGCTCAATCATTGCATTTCACCTATAAAAAATCTGTTAATTTATCGCCTTTATGGTGAGAAAAATATTAAAGCGCTAATTGAATTCTGCAAACGAAACAAATCTTTGAATTACGTAGGTATAGACAAAGATTTGGATTTAGAGCATGATATTAGAAAGGAAGTAGAAGCCTATGTTGCAGTGGTACCACATGAACGTATTGCTGTTGATTGCTAATTTCTATAAATTTTTTATATGTGGACCAATAATATTTTTGCTATTTTTATATTTCTTTTTGAGATAACCAATTTACTTTTAACTACAAAAATTGTATATGATTAGTGATATTATGATAAAATAAAATTTATTATTTACCATGAAGCAATTGAAAAATGAAATATTTACTCCAAAAAAACCTGGGAAATAACTGTCTATTAATTTTAACTTTTGAAAATCGAGTGTAATTTACTTACACATTCGTCTAATATTAATTTATTGGTAAAATTATTTTTAGGGTGAGCTATAGAAAGTTATAAATACGTTCGTATGTGTAACAATAACCGGATTTCTCTTTAATGCGTACAAAATCATGACATCACATCAAAAATGTCTTTATAGTTTATTTCGTGGATGATCGTGAAATCGGATGATGGTGAAATTTGGGGTCTCCTTTTGAAAATATAGACCCTACTGAAATCTACTTATACTCTTTTCTAAGCAACTCTAATCCTAAATTCTAACCTTTCACTAAAAGAAAAGCTAGGATAATACGCCCTAAAAAATTCTAAAATTTCATATTAAATTAGGTCGAAATTTCACGATCATCCGTGACAATTTATATAATAAGTCTTCCTTATATTCGTGCGCACTTGTAAGTCGACATTGTGTAAAATATCAATTCCTATTTTTTTAACAAGATCCATTTTCATTCGGATAAAGGCCTTTATTTTTGCTAAATATTTTTCATCTCTTAGCAAGATTCTTGATCTAACTCGTCAAGAAAGTATGGTTAAAAATGGTTGATTTTCAACTTTTTAGTTTCCACAATGTATCAGATTACATCCATTAGAATATCGCACAATCAAATTATTATTTAAATTATTTGTTAAAAGTGGGATCACTTAACACAAATTAGACTTGTATTTTCATTCTTATGGAATTAATCTAGATCTTGGGATCTTCTACTCATTGAAACAAAATAATCAATTTTATTCACAACCCAAAATTTATCTTTGGATCCAATAACAGAATTAAGCACTGAAAATGTATTGCATTATTAAAAACCTTGGCGAAATTGCAGATTTATTCTAACTACATGCAACAATTATTTCATATATATACTATATTTATATATTTAAATCACAAAAACAGCTTTAGCAATTTAGCTTAGCTAGTAGGGTAGAATAGTTTATAACAGAGTTCTACGATATCATTTCAGCTGTAGAGAGTTAAAAAATTCATTAAAAGAAGTTGCAATAGAAAATTGTGTGCGCTTATATTGAGGAAATTGAAATACTAAAAAAATTAGAAATTCTTCGTATGAGGTATTGCGATTATAAACTATTGAAAATTTTAAAGTATAAAATCAGCATTTTAGAGATAGTTGGTTACAAATTGATGTGCAAATTTTAAAAAAGCCTGCTTATTACTGCAACGATTAATATTTAAATCAAAAGAAAATATTCAAGAATCGTTTATTGTCGAAAGCACTTAAATCCTTCTATTCGGATATTAAATCTCAATATTACGAATATTGGGTTTACCACTCAATTTGTAGTTTATTGATCAGAATAAAATCCACCAAGTCTCAAAGTGCTAATATTCGTAGTATTTTTTGACAAGGTTTTTAGTAGTGCAGTAGCATTTTCAATGTTCAAAAGATATGATAGATCTAAAAATAAATATTGAAGGTGGGAGAAAAACTGCTCATTTTTTTCTAATGCGTCGAAGATTTCTGGTTCGATTTCAAAAGAAAAATATAAATCTAATTTGTACAAAGTGGCTCCACTCTCAACAATTAATTTTAATAATAAATTAATTATGCGATTCATCGATGAGTTGTCATTCGAATTAACAAGATTAATCCATTCTTTAACCTTACTTCCTAAACAAGATAGGTCAAGAACTTTTAAAAATTTTGAATAATCAAATAGTGTTTCGGAAAATTCTGCCTTTATCCCAAATTCTTTTAAAAAGAATTTTTCGTCTTTAGGCGAAAAATATTTAGAAATGAATAAAGGCTTTTGTTCGCATGAAAATGGATTTTGCCAAAGAATAGGAATTGATATTCTGCACCAATGTCGATTTACGAGTGCGCACGAATATAATGAACCAATTTCATTGTTTAAATTATTAAGAATATTTTCCATTAGTTCGGGCATTTCGCCCATAAATATTTTTGATGCCATGATTGATTTTATTGCATGTAGGAGAAAAGGTTTGCACGTACGTTATTTGTAATTTTAGCTATTTCTACGTACATACGCACCCTAAAATTTGCTCCCTTTAATTTTGACCAATCAAAATTTAAGATTAGGAGTAACGTGATAGTCAACACCAATACGATCATACGAATATGATATTGTTCCGTTTTAGTTCCTTATCTATTATGATTTCATTTCAACTTGCATATAGTTTATTATTTATTATTAATTATATTATTTTTATTAATTTTGGGTTTGTGCACTTTAACTTTTTGATTGGACTATCCAAAAAAGGAGATCGTCTAAAGCACAGTATATAGTAATTTATATTCGTCACATGATTTTTAATTTATAAATTTGTTAGTAAAATTAAAAATTTACCTGGCTTTAGACCTCCAAAAAGGGAAAAACTTACAATATGATGATCAAATTATGATGATTACCATTTCAAATCTGTAATTATTGCGACATTTTTAATCATTTGCATGATTAATGTTGTCATTATTTCGTAATCGATGTATGAACTAATAATCAATGTAACAGATAAAATTAAATCAGATTAAATAAATTTTTTATAGTTTATATAAGCAAGCCACCGATGAGAGGGTCAGCTTTAAGGGTAGCATTTATGATAACGACAAATAATCTAATTACATCATAGTTAAATGAAATTTGAGATTGTTATATATGTTGAGTCTTAATCTGATCATTGTTAAACAATGATAATCTCTAAATGCGCGCACTGGAGTCAGCATTTAAATACACTTAAGGAAGGTTTGCGCTTAAAGAATCAATTGTAATCATGAACTTTTGGGATCATGGCATAGCAAAGAAACGTGCATTTAAAATAGATAAGTTAGTTTATATTTGTCTATTATAATAATTAATGTGTGTTCTGATTTCTTACGTATCAAAATTCAGGACATCCTAATTATTTCTTCCAAATTGTTTTTTAAAACCATAATTCTTCTAATTAAAATACTTATAGTGTTATTAATCTATACTTCTTTTATTTAATAAATTCAATATTGAAATGGTTTGGAATGATTTGTTATGTTTTTGTCGCACATTTGAGATTTGGTCGGTTTAAATAAAATAAAAAAAATCTTCAAATATTAATTAATAATTGTTGAGAAATTTTTGTTTAAAGTTAATATTAAAGAAAATTTACCCTAATTATTCAATTTTTTTCAAGATATTCAAAAGCTTTTTAAAACTTTAATCAATAACCATTTATTCAAATTTTGAAATTTTTATTTTAATCATACAAATGTATAGAATTAAAATAAAACATTTTTACTGAATTTATTCAAGAAATCTTTGCTAGAATTTTTTAAAATATTTTATTTTAATTGGCTGGCTGTTTACATCACGTAACCTGAACTTTTTACTATGGCTGAGTAATCATTTTGATAATTTGAATTAGAAATCGATTGATCAATATCAAAAATTATAACCAGTTTTTTAAAAATTTTTTATCTATATTTTTGTTCTAATTTATAATACTACGAAGTTGGTTTACTTAGCATTTTGAATAAATCTAAAAATTTTAATTATTTATTAAATTTTATTAAGCTTTAGATGTTTAAGAATTTTACTTATTTATAAAACTGTGCTCAAAAAATATTTGATTGTTTGATCTTGAAGATTTGGAACCAAATCTTAGCGGAAATCAGTCCAGTGTGAATAATTGAAGGAAGCATCTGTTGAGTTTCTGTTGTGATTTTCTAAATTAAAAGGCTTTTTTGCTCGCCATTCATCAGGATCTGATCGAATGTAACTTGTGGGCACATCAGAATTTTCATCAAATGTTGATCGAAAATCCCATCTTTCTATATTGTCAATACACGGCGGACAAGTAACGTAAGGTTCGGTTGTTAATTGTATAAACTTTTTGTCCTTCCCATGATTTTAGTATTAGATCATCTACATAAAATAAACCATCAACCGTTCAGGCGTTAAATCACCTAAATCAGTCATATCCCAAATACATGGTACATTGGGGTGTGCAATATACTATCGCTATGTAAATCAAAATTATGTGTGGTACAATATAAAAATTTAATATTAAAGATTTTTGTATTTTTTGTGTAACCCAGTTGATCATCAATTCAAATTTATTTATCAATATAATCGTGATGCGAAACAACGTCAATAAAATATAACAATATTTTTAAAATATATTTTTAACTGTTACAGCTAATTATATACAAATTGTATACTTTAATTTTTAGCATAACAAATTATTATAAAGATCTGAAGCGATATCGGGCCCGAATTGGAATACTTGTGTCTCTTGAAGTGGATTTTTCTTTCGATTTGTTTTTATTTCCTTTAATTCTTCTAACAAATTTTCCTTATCAATTTTACTTGAGGATAATCGAAGCTTTGACTGCTTAAGCGATAATGACATGCTGGGTGGGTTTTTAGATCTAGCTTGTTGAAAAGACCCTCTGCTTGCTGTTGATGAATAATTATGAAATAGATTCGGGTCTTGACAAAATTATATAAAGCTGGAAAATCATATACAAATGATTCCTCATCATTACAGAATTGTTCAAATTCTTTACAAAGGTTTTCATCTTGCAGTAGGATTTCGTGTAAGCCAAAGGTGTCTGTTATTCCATTTTTCAAGTCATCTTCAAGTTTTTTAGTGAATTGTATCTCCAGGTTTGTTGGTGGCCTAATCCAAGGTTTTTTTAAGATCACATGATAAAAACTAAAAGCAAAGGGTTTAGCATTATTACTGCCAAGGCGGCAAATAGTTAATGGTAAATGAATCCAAGGTAAAAACCATTTTTTAAAATGTTCTAAAGCTTTAACAATTCCTTGTTCCAAATTATTAAAGAATGATCCAAATTCTTCGCTAGATAAAACATCTAATGCTTCAAGCAATTCATTTGCAAAAAACATTTCAAAATTATTCCAAACCATTTCAATATTGAATTTATTAAATAAAAGAACTATAGATTAATAACACTAT